GGCGCGGCGCTGGCTTTGCGTGCACGCGCTTTGGATTTTGCTTGGGTTTTTAACTCCTGTTTCGTCAATTTTGGTAGAATATTTTCGTCTTGCATGGATATTTGTTGTCTACTTGTGATTTACATTTTGCAACGACTGTTAATTGTTGTAATTCTATACGTGCTATCGTTTAACGTCATTCTATTCGATGACGCGTCGACGAGAGATGTCTTAAGGGATGATCTTCCCAAGGGAAGAAATCTACACGCGGGAATCTTATAAGTCTATAAGGTCTTTTGTGTAGTTTGTGGGCATTATCCTTTCCTGTTTCGTTGTTGTCCCGAGATTTGGGACTGCTCGTGATTGCGTCGTAAAGACGAACTTCGCCGTGGCTTCGTTGGGCCCAATCATTCGCGACGAGTGAAGCGCGTCATGGGAGCGCGAAACGTCCAGGCAGATTGTCCATTTTTGCGCAGAATCCGAGCGTCGATTAGGGAGAATTTGCCGCAATTCCTGCCGATAACGGTCAAGAAATTTATTGGTATCGCGTCGCTCGTTGTTTACAAGGATGCGTGTCAGCTTCATTCAAACGAAACGAAACGGAACGTCGCGTCGCACGAGCTCGAGCTCGTGGCTTCTGGAATTATTTATATCTCGCACGTGCTCGGGCCCTGATCCGACGTGTTACGTTAGGTCCACACGTTCCGAACTGCTTCGTCGCCTGCATACCTGCACTTTTTCTTCGTTCTCGTCGCAGTTCGCGCTAATCCTTGCGACGCGTCGTTCGACGCTGCGATACACCCGGCCCGTTTGAATCAATTAAAATCGTACGTGGAGTTCTCTGTAGTTAAAACAAAGGAAACTTTCATTTGGAATTATGCTTTTAACGATAAATAACACTCGAGAGCATACCTTCCAGCATGATAATGTCGCCGTTCACCCTAGCAGAACAATTGTACAATTGCAGCACGACTCCGAGGCCGTAACATTGTTTTGTTAAAATGACCAGCATGCTTCTAGATCAGAATCCGATAGAAAATTGTTGGAATATCGTTGCTAGAACACATTTGTGTACTTGTGAAGTACAAGAAACAATAAAACAAAGTCTGAATGGAAGTATGCAAAATCGAATATTTGAACTCACTGAAAGCAGAGACGATCCCACGCTTTACTAAATAATTCTTATAATTTCACACACATTCCGAATTTTTTAATCCTACTTTTTTATTAAAAAAGAGTTCATTCGTTCTTAGAAGAACATCAAATATTCCATAATTCATTCGTTATTACATCAACTACGACGTATAAAAGCTGAACATCTTTTGGTGGTTTCGTAGTTATTGGACGCAGCGTATATGCCATGAGTTTTTTAGAGCCACCGACGCGAAGCTGTCCTTTTCTCAAGCAGCGTTCGTACAATCGAAATGGCACGGTTCCTCTAGCAATTTCACGCTTTTCCGTAACGCACGGACGCCTCGGATTTCTTTTTGGCTGGTCGTGTCGCGAATTTTGGCCTAGTCTCGTGATCTAGTCGGTCGCTCTACACATATATCTCTCCGAGGCAACCCGAGGAAAGCCGAAACGATTAGCCCGGCAGAGTAAATAAACGATCTTTCTCCTTTAGCAGGCTGTTAATCTCGGAGCCGCGCGTTCCGAATCAACCCCATATTTCTCGATCGTTCTTCTTTTAGCAGCGAGCATGCAGGAACGCGTTCCAAGTGGCCAGCCCCGAGGTCGGCGTATCGAGGTCTGTGAAACCATAAAAGGAGCATCTTCCGCCGGGCTGCGCGCGATCGCCGCGGCCGGAAACGCGGAATTAGACTCGATTTTGCGTCGTCGAACGCAATCCGCTCGGTCATCAATGAACGGCTACGTCAGCCGTCGCGATGCCCTCGACTATAATAGTAAACCCGAATTCCACCGTCGCATACTCGGTCAGTGACGTCGTTCGCGGAGCACCGTCGTCGCATTCGTAAATTTACTTGGAACGCGTCGGAATCCGTCGTTTTCCGACAGGATTCCTAAATCCATGGAGGCTGACTCGCGACTCGAACTACTTCGATAGGACCCTGATCATCGGAAAACGGCCCCAAATAGCGGCGAATTGTCTCGAAATCGAGAACAAAAGAAACATCTCTCTCTGATTCTTCTGGCCACTGGATCAAGCCGAGGGACAATTGGAGAGAATTTGCTGTGTTTCTAAAAAGCCTAGCATTTTATTGTTCCGTCTTCTCTTTAACCATTAACTCGGTTGTTCTTACTTCGCGCATCGACAACGAAGGGGTTCGAATTGGCTTGTTCGATCGAATAGAAGCAAATGTATTTAAAAAACGCGTGGCTTAGTCTAGCATTTTATATCAGAAGCAGTCAAACGGTATCCGCCGTTAATTTCTCGGACAATATCAAAGTCGTCGCCGCAGTAATTATTCAAGAGACAGGGACGTTTTCTAAATCGGCGCGATCCACGTGACAATAGGATGACTATTTAGGAAATCGCAGCGACGGTAGCGTTGCCAGAAAGAGGGCCGAGTGAAAATAATACGGACACTGTAGTTTTTTCATCCGCCAAATGAACTTGCAAAAAATAATCAAGCACGATGCTACTAATTTTTTAAAATTTTCTAGGTTATGGTCGGTCGGAGGAGGGGAACAGATTTTTCTGTTAGAAATACTACGAATTAAAACGTTTCTGAAAGCAGTAGATCGTTTCTTTTAGAACCGAGACTGACATACGTTCGAGGATCGAAACTACCCTTTTGCAACAACCCCCTGAAACACTTGGAACTTTACAATGATACAAGAATCGCTATGAATAGCTTTCGAGATGCGAGAGCTTCGATTTTCGAATCCATGAAAACAATTTCCCAATGTATTTAAGGACGTTTCAGTTCCTAACAGTTTCAAGAAGAACAAGCTCGTCTCTAATTTCTTGAATCTTTCTGTGATAGCGTTTAAACACATTTCTGAACGTCGATTCGCAGACGTTTCGTTAGCTGCGAGTGTTTGATTTCGCGGATTCCGTTTTAAAGACAGATCCTTCGGGGAAGACTATCGTTTATGCGCCAAAGGGAGCTTCGAAAGTTTAGAATCAAGAATTCTTGGCAAGCACGAGGCGCCATGTTAGCAGCAGCGTAGTTCTTCGAGAGTTTAGCGCGACGACGTTGGAGTCACGCATTCCGAGGGCATTGCAAATCAAGGGAACATTGTTCGTCGTATCACGATGTCGCTTAGGATTGTGGGAATTCGCGCGTTTACGCGAACCGTGCTAATTTCGGACCGACGCGCGGTGTTGGACATCGATCGATTAATATCTTCAATTCGATTAAATAATAATGGATGAGAATATCGTTCGATGTTTAGAGTTTCGTCTACTTAAGAAATCAGCGAATCGGTCGTTCGTACGGTGTGCTGTTTCGTCTCAAAATTGTTGAGTCTAATTTACCGTACTCGCTCGCCGTGAACAAATAAATCAAGTCCGTCGCGTTGTAGAAAGAATTCGTTATTATGGCCATGTGCAGCGACTGGAATCTCATCGGAGTCTCGATACTTAAATTTAGCCATAGGAATGCGGGGGAAGATTTCTTCGCAATGGTTTAGATCAAGTTTCGACCGCGCTCTTTCGCGTGTCCTCCTCGTTAAGAGCGAATATTACTTGCTCGTCTCGCGGATCTAAATTCGAACTAATTCCATTGCGATCCCTCGATGCAATTTTTCAGACGCAACGGAGCAGAATCAGAGTAAAACGTCCACGAGGGAAAAGGCTTCGCGGTATGACAGATTAGATAAAGCTTGGGCAGAGAGCTTGTCATCTGCTATACCTGCATGCGCCTAATCTAATCTGTAAAGATGAGTTATTTAAGAACTATTAAAATAGTTCGCACATTCTAGAAACGTGCATTCTACTGGACACCAGGGAAAATGGAGGTAGTGTTACGATTTAAATCGGTTCTATCGACGTGTAACGGTCAGTCGTTTTGTAAACAAATTTACTGTGAAACGTGTTAGAAACGAGTGCTTTGGTATTGGAAGAAAAATCGATGGATACAAGAGGAATATCGAATATTATCGTTCTTTTCGTGAGAAATAGTACAAAGACGTTATAAACGTACGATCTGAGCGTAAATTAGGAAGAATTTACCGTGGTTCTATCAGAATTCTCGCGCGTTAAAAAGCATCAAATGCCACTTCATAAAGTGGAAGCGTTTTATTTGCAAATTGTATAACAATTCCTACGCTACCAAGCGAAACCTCCGTCCGTCGAGATATCAATAAGTGGAAAATAAATGTTTAACCTTCGACTGGTGGCGTGCGTCGCTCCGACGTCTCGTCGGTCTGCAAAACAAGCTCTAACAAATTTGTTCACCGCTCGAAGGTTAAATTCGGTTTTCAACGAGAGTTCGAAGAGATGGAAATTTCGTCTGCGTCTATAAATTCTTCGTTCGATACGAACCTATTTTCGTTCGAAAGATCGTCTGTTGAATATTATTCGAAGCAACCACGAATAAAAAGAGAAAGCATCGATTATCCGAACTGATCCGGAAACGCGAGTGTTCGGATAATAGAACGGTATCCTGCAATACGGTGCTGGATCGAAAGTAAAACGATTTGGTTCGACAGTGTGTCCAAGCATCGTGTTCCATTATCCGAACGTTTATGTTCCCCCAATAGGTTCGAATAATCGAGGCGCGGCCGCAGCTGCTGTCGGAGAAGATTGGCGGGAAAATCGCGCGATCTTCGCGTGTAAACAAACAATCGGATTAGACGTCGTCCACCGAGAGAACGAGGCTCCGAGGCAGTTCATGAATGAACGCGAAAGATGCGATGTGGACAGAATCGAAGATTCATCATTTCCGGTGCACCGAGCTGGCTGCTGGCAGCCAATCAAAATGTTCGGAATCGCGCGGAATTGGCTCGTAAAAGTGGCAAATATTTCGGCCGTCGGCGAGCCGGCTCTCCGGAAATTCTTGGTGGGAGCTTTTTGACGTCGGTCCCGTCTTATAAAAAGGTGCTCGGCGTCGCGACGCCGTATTCACCGAGCGATAGTCGTCGAGATATTATAGAGAACGCGAGATCGCGATTAAACGTGGAAATCTTCGATCGATCGATTCGGTTTCACTCGCCAATTCCTTATCGGACAGTATTAATAGTTTAGGCTGACGACTACGGTCTCGTAATTAGGTTCTTCGAAAATAATTCTCAGTGAAACAATGTCTTCAGTGATGTATGTGAGTATACACGGGACACGGTGCACGCGTATACATATGCTTGTGTGTTTATCGTTCGGATAGAGGCGAAATGTGAAAGTACGCGACCGATTCTACCCTACTCGTAGTCTGATCAACGCAGTCTTATTTCACTTGGTCTCGTAGTTCTACCGTCATGTATTGTACATTCACCCTGATTCGCGCTCAGATTGTTCACAAGAAGATACGATTATTCCTTTATATAATTGTTGACAATCGGTACCTGTAATAATCGTAACTAAAATTGATAAATATAATTAATAAATTAGATACGATTATTTGTACTATATAATATATAATAATAATATAAAATCGATATATAATTATAATATAATAATATATAAAAATCGTATCTCCTCCCAAATTGTCCATTTTTGACGCGCAACCCGAGCGTCAATTAGGGAGAATTTACTGTATTTGTAAAGTTTTCCAAATGTTTCGTCACTTGTTCCCACTACTTTTCTATCGCAGTTTCGCAAGTTTAAGTGCTCTCAATCGCGCGGTTCTTTTGCATCAAGATTTATTCCAAATTCGTCTGTCTTCCTCCAAAAATATTTCGCTCCTTCGCAAAGAGAGCATTTGTATTGTCATTTCATTACAATCTATCGAGTCTTTTAGAATATCTGTTACCGATATCAATTTCAAGTTTTTAACGACACAGGAAATGACCGTCTTCAATGGGCGTATCTATTTTACAACTGTTCGAAGCTTCATCGAGATAAGAAGTATAGAAAAAAATCGATAGTATCCAAGCACCAGGAACAAAGGCGCATTTGTCAGAGACGTAGATACGACGGGAAAATAATTGAACGATCGCGAGAAGAATTATTTCGCGCGACGCGTCCGAGGGTTATACAAATTAGCGATTAAAGCGGGCACAAGTCCCGCGGGACTTCGAGGAGAAGCTGGAAAGAAATATGTTTCGATCGTTCGCATAGAATCGTCGGTATCGCCGTAATTGGTACGCGTTGTTCATTAGAAGAGAGGATAATATCCGGCGAAAACGTCGCGTCGTTGGTTGCATGGACGCGGCGCGGTAGTAAGAGCGGGTGAAAATTTGTCAGAATGCCATCGGGATGACTTTTATGGTCAGGGCCAGTTAAATGGTCCAGGCTGGCTCTTCTCCAACATTCCGCGCTGATTAGGAGCACCGTGACACTGACGTCGCGGAGACACTGCGCCCCTTCGACCGTCTGGGCCAAAATATTCGAAAAATTCTGTTCGCTAGAAAAAAGTAGGATTCTTCCCGAAATAAGTAAATTTTTCGTTTCGCTTTTGCCATTCCGAACGGAATTCGATCGGATTCGACGAAAACTGGGCGCAGAATAATGTCTCTCTAATCGACGCTCGGATTGTCCACGAAAATGGACAATTTGGGAAGAGGAGATACGAATATTCGAGCTTTTCGGGTCGTTTTTACGGTCATTGATTCTCAACGATTATAAAAACGAGCTACAAGGCTCGAACAATCGTATCTCCTCTTTCCAAATTGTTCATTTTTGTGCGCAATCCGAGCGTCGGTTAGAGAGACATTACTGTAACTACAATATCGAAGGCTGCGAGCGACGTACCTCGGGCTCGCTTCTCGACGACACTTCGGGATTAGAAGCCCCGTTCTTACCACCTACGTCTCTGATACCAGCGATACCGGTACTAGTTCGAAGACGCGTCGTTCCGGCTGCAGACGTGTTTAATACTCTTACAGCGATTTTAGCAAGCGCCTTTAAAATGGTGACTGCGGAGTAAGATTTGTAACGTAAAATATCTGTCGCGATTATTTGCAATGTAAATTCGGAATAGAATCGGTTTTGTTCGTAGAAAGGCAAACGATCGGATCTCCTTCGTTCGATCGTTGTGAAATGTTCACGCTCGCGTTATCGGTGTTAAAAACTATGCTGTTGTTACGCGAATTGGTCGTTCTACCGATAAATCGTTGATCGTAAAACGCTCTACGCGGATAACTATTTGCAATGACATTATTCTTGGAAATGAAATATACGTTTCTTCGAAATGTCAAGCAACGCGAAGTAATACATTCGTTTATGTCACAGGAATCCTTGAGCGACAAAGTGGCGATGTTCAACCAATACGCGGACCAACACAAGGACAAGCAGAACAAGAATCCGTTCACGTCCGGATTGAACCTCGAGAAGAAGACGTTCTCGAAGGAAGAGTATGGCAGGTAAATGTTCCTTCGACGGAGACGACGACGATTCGCGAAAAGCGCGCGCAAATATTAACGATTGCTCCGCGATTTCAGACCGAAAGCCGGCTCTTTAACGGACATCCGCGGTCGCAAAGCTGCCGCGCATATCCTCAAAGAAATAGTCGAACTCTGCGAGATCATCTACCAAGAGGGCACGCCGTGTCGGGACCACCCTGAGATCACCGCGATCACGTTCGGCGATCTGTTCAACCTTTACACCCACATCAACGACAAATGCGTCGGACTTCTATTGAGGGCCAGGAAACAAAAGTTGCTTGACTTCGAAGGCGAATGCCTTTTCCAGGTGAGCGAAACGTTACTCTCGTATCTCCTCTTCCCAAATCGTCCATTTTTCTGCACGATTTGAGCGTCAATTAGGGAGAATTCACCGTACCTTGTAGCTCCGCGGTTTTCGTTACCCGACTCACACCTGAACAGACCAAATCGTGCGAAGAAATGTTTATATTCTTCGACGGGCACTGAACATCTCGCAATAAACGATTCGGTACTATATAATATAATAAAATATATATATAAGAATATGAAAAATTAACTATAAACCGGTCAGACGATTCGAGAAATATTTTCTTCCGCGACGATCGCGAGAATATCGTACAAATTGTATAAACAGTTGTTTCTCGTTTCGAAGGTACTATTATGCCAGGATTTTGTTCGTACGATATAGCAAATGGTTTCATTGTTGGTAATTTGTTGCAGAGGCGGGACGACGACGTGCCAATATTCCTGGTGAAACCGATCGCCGAGATTCGCCAGATGTTGAAGCAACGACTACAGGAGATGAAAGAGTCGACGCCAGTCAGTTAACACTTACCCCTTCCGCTATGCTCCCCGATCGTTCGAGCGATTGTTAACGCGTTGTTGTTCCGCCTCTGTCCCTCCTGTACCGATCCAAACGACCGTAAAAAAACGCAACGCGTGCCGACCATATTGTATAGCATGTAATTCGTAGCATGTAATTTTTGAGTTCGAGAGTGCATATCTGAGCCGAGTGATTGTACCTTGACGCGCGCTATGACGTAGGATCGATGTAAGAAATCGAACACCTTGACATGTGATATTCTATAGGATACTAGGAATAAAAATGAGTTTTTTCTAGAATCCGTTTTTTGTGTAATTTTCCGAAGCCGGTCACCGCGATGGAACCGCGTCGAGCGATGAGATTCGTCAGTGGGGGATTGGATTCCGTCATTTTCAAACCTTTATTCGTACAGAGCTGTTCACGTGTACAACATTAAAAATAACGCAAGGTTTGTCGCTGTTGTGTCAGAAGAAAACAATGATACTTGTTCTTCGATACTTTCCCTCGAATTGTTTTGGACGATTCGAGCGAGAACGATTGGAGCGTCCGCACAGCCATTCAATCTTCATACAAAAGAGAAAACGAAAAAAAGAAAACGATACACGAGAGAATAACATACACTACTTAAGAGATAACTTCTCGACAAGAGGACCGGATGACCGGTCGGACGCCGAGCGGTACACGGCGCCGGCCGATTTTTCGTCCATGGGATCCGAGTTGCCTATACAAAAACTTGGGCGAACACCTCGTGCTTCCGGTTCGGTCGTTCGATGAGAGAGGATCGTCGCGGTTAACGATGTGCTTAAGCTTACTTGTTTAACGTGAAAATTGACGAGTAAAACACGCGACCGGTCGAACCCGCGAGACTCGACCCGACGACCGGTGCATGCGCGATACATTCTCCTTCGACGATCGTAAACTCTACACGTAAGTCTCTAGTTGCTAATTAGAAGAAATGATCTTACTTTAAAATTGATAATGAGAAAAAACGACGACGAGAAGAAGACACGGAGAGAGATAGAGACAGAGAGATAGAGATAGACAGACAGAGAGAGAGAGAGAGAGAGAGAGAGAGAGAGAGAGAGAGAGAGAAATGGAGACAAGAGAGTGTAGACAGAGACTCGAGGGGTTCGTAACAAAAAAGCGATCCCTAAGACGCTTCGGAATCGTCGCTCTATGGTATCTGGTAAGTCAATTCCGTTTCTTGCTTTCATTTGAATTTATTAAAACGTACGAAGGAGCTTTCTATTGTCTTTCTGTTACAGGAACATCGTTAAATTATCGAGTCGCTAAACTCTAGTCGCATCGAGCAGGGTCGTTTCCGCGAGAGAACAAAGTGGGGAATATATATGAAAAATAAAACAGATTAAATGTATTCTTTATCTTACATTTATAATTACTGAACAATAAAGTATTCTCTTCTTCGTTTTGCTGTTACGAACGTCACTGAAGGTCCACGTGCAACCCGTCGATCAGGTATGACAAGGATTAATGCTCGCAGAATCACTGAAACGTTGACAGAGTAGAAACACGCGACAATGTCGCGCCGATTTTCCCTCGATTTTCCCCGACAAGGATTCTCTTTTCGTTACGAACACCCCGGTCGAGAGAGAGAGGACTCGGCCAGATTTCGTCGCAGCGATCACTCTCGTTCATTTAGCTTCCGTTTGTTACAGTTGTCCGTGAAACAATAGGTTCGTGTCATCGGAACATAAAAAAATATAGGGGGCAGACGATGCGAGACTCGCGAATCGGCCAGCTCTGTTCTCGAAATCGTGATCCGACCGGTGCCAGACCCGAGCGTTGTTCGACGAAAGCAACGCGAAAAGCCGCGCGAAAATTTTCACACCTCTTTTTGACAAAACACCCTTCTTCGATCCTTCTATCCTCTAAAAAAACGATACGCTTCGACGGAGCATTTCGGTTGGCAGTTCACCGCGCGAATTTCGCCGCGTTATTTGAAATAACGTCGGGTCTGGCCAGCACGGCGTCTCTCATCAGTCTTGGCTACGGGTCGGAGGAAGTATCTCGGAAAGGGAATATCGTCAACGTCGTCGAGTTTCTCTCCCTATGTAACAATCAGAACGTCTTCAGGCGGCTAAGTCCACCCATGCGCTGCTAGGAGGACATAATCGGCGATTAAAGTAAAAGGGACTCGAAGCAAAAATCGTGTTCAAAAAAAAACTAGATCCAGGCAATTCAAATCCTTCTCGCTTGAGGTCCGATCTCGAAGGACGCGCGTCGCGCGTCCTCCCGTCTGTGCGCTTTCTTTACGAAAAAAAATATGTATGTATATATATATATATATATATATTTAATGTCTTCTTAAAATATATATATATAGTAATAATAATAATAGTAGTAGTAGTAATTTTACTCTTTAAACATCGCGCGTGTTACGTATTATGTACAATGTTAAATCTTATAATCGCGAGCTCGATCTCGATATCTCTCCCAGTGGCGTAAGTTTCGCGCGCCCTGACCGCGGGGGGAGGCTTCCGCTTCGGTATTCGAGACCCCGTCGCATTGGCGACGCTCGCCGAAGCCCCCGTGAAAGTTACGTCACCGAACAGAATTACAGTTTCTTCGATTTCATCCTAAAAAGTATACCACTCGAACCAAATGGCGAACGGAGCGTCGCTTCCTCTCGTCCGCTGCTCTCCGCTTCGCTCCCGCAGTTGACTCTCGTCCAGCGTTCCCTTCGTCGACGCGGTTGTTGCCTGTGTCCCCTTCGTGCTCGCGCTTCGACTGCGCGCAAAAACCGTGTTTCCCGCTGCGTGCTCGCTCGTACGCGCTGCGCGCCGTCCACCTCGTCTCGTCTTTCCCGGTTTTGCCGGCGAAGCGTCCATCCTCCGACTTCGAAAGAGTGAAACCGTCGATCGGTCGCATTGGTCGGGGTCCACCCCCGTTTCCGCAGGCGATCGAGAACGAAGGAAGGTCGGCGGGCGAAGCAGCGTCCTCGGCGAAGCGTCGGAGCGGACCTTGCTGCGGGTCGTTACGATTAAGATTCCGGGCGGGGTGGAAGTCGAGTTAGTCTAGGACGTAGAATAGACGGTGAGAAAGATAAAGAGAGAGATAGAGAAAAGTGAGGGAGCGCGGAAGCGCGTCCGAGAGAATCAGAATAACGAGATAAATAGGTACACTAGATACTAGTGAAACGGGAGCTCTCTTTCGTATTGACGACAAGGCTGGCCTCGACGCGGCGTCGATCCCCTTTATCGGGAGCTGAAGAGACAGAGAAAAGCGTTACCGTTAGCGTTAAAAGTGTTCTATGCGTCTATCACAGTTAGAGGGGTATCGAGGGTGGCGTCTACTTGCTTCTGCGGCTCGCGATCTGTCGCGACAAACGGATCGTCGGGAAAGATAAACGAAATGAAACGCGTCGCGTTCGGAGCAAGAGCGCGCGACGAAGAATTCTCAAAAGCCGTGGGTGTCTGGCGTCGACCGGTGGTATTCTCGTTTCCGATCCCGTCTTTTTAATTCGCTCTCTCTCCCTCTCTCTCTCTCTCGTAACCGACGACACGATATACTACACGATAATAAATAGAGATTCTGTTCTGTTCTGTCGCGGCGGTCGATCAGTTGAAGTTAAACGAAAGCAGCAGCAGCGGGCGGTGCAGCGCGCGGCCAGCGGGAAATGGGGCCCTACGGTTCTCCCTTTTGTTTCGCAGTCGACTAAACGTTTGTATCGAGAGCCTGTTGCTGTTCTCGGGCGCAGTCGCGCGAGCTAAGTCCCCGCTTGTTCGTCTCTGTCTTTTTCGGGCCGAGCTTGCGCGTGTCTGATCTGAATGTATTTTTTGTGCTTGGCAGAGGAACTCTGTGTAGCCGGCGGCACAGTGAGACGAGCCTAGTGGGGCCCACTCGTCGACGACCGTCTCATTTACTGCAACATAACACAGAGATACAGCCATTAGTGGTACTGCCGGGGTGGAACTACTGCGGGCGAAACAGCGAGCCCCTCCGATTGGACGCGTCGTGTTTTTTTTTTCCGGGCCGTCCGAGAGCGTCCCACTCCTCGCGTTCCGGGCACGGTCACGGTCCGAGAAAACCGGACCGTTCTCGCATCGGAACGTTCTTATTTATTCTCTGCACCAAAATGTTCTTCCGTGTTTGTTCGTTCGTTTATTTGTATTTTTGTTTTCTTTTCTTTTTGGTTCTTCTACTCTTTGTTTAACATCCCTCTGAACTACCCTTCCGAGGCAACGCAATAGATCCACGATGAAAAATATCTGACATTACGTGCTTCCCCCGACATTTTCGAGTATCGATTTCTCTGGTTATACTCTACTAAGTTTTTTAGCTTCTTTTTTTTCTTGTTTTTTGTATTTTTTGGTTGTCTGTTATTGGTTCTGATACTTGTGTGTACGTGTGTTTATTCGAGTGTCGATATAGTATTTCTGTGACTTTTGTTTCTTTTCTGTCGTTTGATCCCATCGAGCAGCTTGCGGGTTGTTGCGGGTGGGTGTTAAGTGCCTTTGACGATTTTCTCGTGTCCGGACAGGTGTCGATTCGTCCTACGCGTCTCGGATCTTTATTTCGGCGGCGGCGTCACTGGCGGTGCCACTGCAAGCATATCATGATACCTCTGTTAATTCATCGGCATGCTCGGCCGGCGGAGCTCTGATACACAGAACCCGCGGATCGCGATCGCTAACGTTCTCCAGTTTCCTGGATCCCGACAACGTATGCGGCATCGATCGTGTCCGAGGATCGCGTGAACGCGTGTGACGTCGAGTCGATTATTCCTGCTGTTCTACGAATCATTTTCGTCGACGTGATACTCTCGAATCGCCCAATCGGAATACTCGAAGCTACGTTGTAAATTCGATAGCTCCGATTAACGCGAAAAAAATAACTTATTTTCATAAAATGTACAATGCTCGACAATTGCTAAATTCTATTTGATATAGATCAATAAAGTAATCGGATTCGCATTTACTACGGTTAGCAGACTACAGATTTTTATGCGAAATGAAAATGTTCTGCATTTATTGCAAGCTATAAGAACTGTACAGACATTTCTGTCTTTTTTTTAACAGCTTTAACGAGTTCCAAGGAACACGATAGTAACGAAATTCGGGGAGTTCTCCCCAATTGTCATTCAGCTTGGAGATGAAGATGGACAACTTGGAAAGAGAGGATACAATTTTTCGAGCAATTATAGAATTATTTGAATAATCGTGTCCCTTCTCCCAAGTTGTCCATTTTCATTCCCAATCGGAGCGTCAATTAGGGAGAATTTACTGTACAGTAATGTCTCTCTAATTGACGCCCAGATTGCGCGCACAAAAATGGACGATATGAGAAGAGGAAATACGATTATTCGAGCCTTGCGGTTTATTTTTATAGTTATAAATTGTCCACAATTATAAAAACGAGCCGCAAGGCTCGAACGATCGCGTATCTCCTCTTCCAAAATTATCCATTTTTGGGGACTATCTGAGCGTCGGTAAGGGAGACATTACTGTATTCATTTTTATTTTCTCCGTGTTTACATTATTTAAGTATCTCGATCGCTTACTTTATCTTCTATCGTATCATTTCTTCTCTTTTTTCTTTGTTTCTTTTCGATATACAGTAATGTCTCTCTAATTGACGCCCAGATTGCGCGCACAAAAATGGACAATGTGGGAAGAGGAGATACGATTATTCGAGCCTTGCGGTTTATTTTTATAATTATAATTTGTCCACAATTATAAAAACCAGCCGCAAGGCTCGAATAATCGCATCTCCTCTTCCCAAATTACCCAATTTAGTGGACAATCTGAGCGTCGGTAAGGGAGTAATTACTGTATTTCATTGTTTCCTGCTGGTAACCGTACGGAACGCGTCGGTGAAAACTTTGCTCGTAGTTCGTTGCCCCGCGATTCGATTGAAGCGAGAATGGGAGCAAACTTCCAACGACTGTTTCGTAGGGGTCGGCGAATTTTAAATTCGCTTTCGTTCGATACGCAACGAACCCGACGTCACATGTCCATCGATGTCGAACGGTGGTGTCCGTTAAGGGAAAACAGTCCCGACTCTATCAATACAATGATGCCGATAATATAATGTCGCAAATTGTAATTAGGATACAAAAATTCGTAGCTTACGTGGTAACAATTGTAAATGAGAAAACGTTACCTGGACGATCCAGTCGCTCGGACTATTCCTTTGGTTTGCAACAACGGCGGCGGTCTGCTCCTTGACTGAATAGTTTTCGCACACCAACAGGCAGGAGTTAGCAAAAAGTGTGTCGGGTTTTTGGTGTCGGAGACAACTTCCTCGGTCAGGAGTGTTATTATTATCATTATTATTGTTATTATACATATATACATATACATTAACGGGCGTGGACCCGGTCAAGGGCCCATATTGGTCATTCCAGGCTGACACGACAGTTATCAAATCGATTTTGATCTTTCTGTCCAGAGGATGTATGCAAAAAGTTCAAACAACAACTCCGGGGGACACACAGCATGGCGATGATGGCGATGACATGATTTCTCGACGCGAATGCCGCGGTGTTACGCTCGCGGATCCGCCTCGAGTATTGCTATGATCATCGAACCGCTCCGGGTCTCCTCCCCAGGATTCGACCGCGAAGCATTCATCGAGGACGGTATTCCTTCGTCGTATAAATCAATCTCACAGTTTCCGTACTATTTTGTCAAACTGATGATCGATGAGGTGGCAAGGTACATATACATACTCGGAGGTAATCGTTGGATAAAGGGCAAAATACAGGGTTAGATAAAAACGGTAGATAACAGAGAGAGAAAAGAGAAAGAGAGATAAATAGAGAGAGAGAGAGAGAGAGAGAGAGAGAGAGAGAGAGAGAGAGAGAGAAAGAGTGAAGAGGAGAGAAAAAGTGCAGAAGAAGACACGAAGAGGAGAAAGTCGTATCGTAGGTTGCTGCAAACAGATTGGACCAAACACTTGTCACGTTTCTTTTGTATTGAGCGTTGAATGTTTCGTACGCGCGGCAAACGCCACCGTTCACAGCGAAGAATTCGCGTCAAGGTAGGTCGATCGATCGACTTCGAACGCACAACAGTAACATCAACGATATCCTTTTTGTTTCAGTGTTCTGTTTTATTATTATAACAAGTAATGCACTAGGAGACTGTCGCTAATCGCCGATAATCGTCACGATATTCTCTCACTTGTTATAATATCCGGTCTGGATTCGAATACACGATGAGGAGATAAATAAAAACGCGCGATAAATAAACAAACATTTGCTAATACGACGGGGATTGCCGTGGTTCACCTGCGTTTCTCTCTGAGTAATTACAATTTAACCCGAATGGTATATGCAATGAATTCGATTCGTGTACCGGTAATCTGTCGGCGACTCCGTTTGTTCTTCTTTCTACATAGAATCGGCCGTTGCACGACGTCGGACCGTAATATGTATATGTCGGGGCTAATCAATTAATTAATCAATTAATTAATCAATTAGGATCACACCGTGATTCGCCACAGGTGCGTGCTGGCGAATTATGCATCTCAAAAAGAAAACCAAATCATTCGATATAATCGCACTCTATATAAGTTATTAATATTAATTATTAATAATAATATTATTATTATCATTATTATTATCTTATTATCATTAGAAATAGGTACTTCCTGCACGAACGATGGCGGCTCGTGGCTGTCATCGTCGTCGATCTTTACCATGCTAGGTCAGATACAGAGCGTTATGCAAAGAACCACGCGTGCCGGCTGCTTCTGTCGTCCTCGATGGATCGACAGCAGTTTTCGAGTAATTGCAAAATAGTTTTCTCTACGCGCACGACTCGGGAGATGTACGCGCATCTTGTACATACGTACGCGCCGTGCGAACACTCGCGAACACTTCCGACACGTGAACCCCGCCGAAGAACGGTGTCAACGTCTCCTTTGCGTAACGCTGCCGTAACCGCAGTGCTGGTATTTCGTTTCGTTTCGTTTCGTCGATGGCACTACTCCGTCTCGTTTCCGGTTCCAGATTAGAGCACAATCCACACAATCAAACCAAGTACTTACAAAAAATACGTGTTACCACGAGCGAACGCAAAGCTATTTGATCAACGAGTTTTAGCGAGCGTCGTAGAGCGATCTATGAAAACTTTGTGTTTCCTCTGCATCGTGATCTCCGCGCGATCTCTGTGCTCGGCGACGCGGCTCGCGAGGCGATCGAATCTCTCTCGACGAGTAACACCGTTTGAACGATGGTGGAACGAAAACGAAAAAGAAAAGGAGACCGTGAAGAAGACGAGAAACCAGTTTGAAAAAGTGTAACAATGCTTTTGTGATCGTGACTGGTAACGCGTCGAGGTCGTCGAACGCGCGCGTTCCGTTCGTCTCACGTTCGCACAGGTGGAAATCGTCGAAGAAAGTCTGCAGGTACAAATATCCGATTATTGTTCGTGGCATCGCTACAAAGTAAAATTCTAGTTGCCTCGGAACAGGGGAGAACAAAAACAGAGCACTCACGCAATGTTAGGTGCTGGTTGGGGTAGGTGCGCCGCGGAGGGCCCGAACGGATTATCGCAAACCGGCCGGGGGTTCGCCCCGCGACGCACCCAGGCACGCATGCACGGTACAAACGCCTTTTCTCACACAGTTTGCCTTTGCCTAATTAAGTTTAGTTATGCCCATACCAAAAAACAAAATATAAGAAGAAGTAGTAGAGAGGAAGAAAACAAAAAAAAATGAAAAGTATCACGCCCTAGCCGATAATAATTAATATTGTTATGCTATCTCGTGTAACGCGGATCAGCGGACGAGACTCTCTCTGCCGCGTAGTCGCCAATCGCAAACGAAGAGGAGGATTACGATGTACAAGCATTTGCATCGGAACGGCGGGGGTGCGTACCACCCCTCGGACCGCATCGTCAGTCTTGTTGCGTTTGCACGGGTTCGAGGGATGGTTCGCAGCGACACGGCTGCGCCATACGCGCCATTAGAAGAAGACTCTTCCCGATCGAAATTTCACTAAACGACAGTCGGATGCGTTAGAAAGGCCCGCACATGTATTCACACGCGGTACTCGGTTACGACACCCGACATCTCTTCCGTTCGTCGCATGTGGCGCGCCTATTATGGTTCTCGACTCGGCGAGGTGTCCGACCGCGATACTCGCTCGACACTCGAATAGAAAGACCTCTTTCTAATGTTTCTTGTACGGCCTATTTAAGAGGATAAACAAGTACAAAAAGAAGATGCGCGTCGGGAAAAATTACACACACACTCTCTCTCTCTCTCTCAGGTACAGGGCGACTCGATCGACGTCCCCCTGGGCGACCCGATCGATTTAATTACCGTTCGGAACCGTGTTCTTTTGGAATCTACGAAACCAGCTGCGCGCCGTCGCTGGTAGGAACAAAGATACGTACTTCTAGACCGAGAGTTCTCGTGTTCGGACCACCATCCCAGATGAGAGAGGGGGTGGGGGGGAGGAGGATTCGGGAGATTAATACAATGCGATACGGACTGCCTGGGAACGAGTAATTCTCAATGTCCTTTTGTCCTTAACTTACATACACGAGCCTTTGCAATCCGTACCCATAAATTATTGGTATACAAAATCTATTGTGTGGCATCGATCGTACGACACGTAAATCACACACAGATAAGGTACATGTAAAAAGACCAAGTGATGCGATGAGAATGATGCGTTCTGTTGTGCCCGTTAAACAAACACATGGTGGTAAAATTCCCGTTTCTCTGTCGTCTCTATCGCGCGATTAGCTTTCCGATATTTGCCAGATACTGGATGCTAAATGCATGACTGAGAACAACAACGATCATGATTTTACGGGGCACAGAAATATTCGCTAACTATAGATACAATGATTGCTCTGGGTGGTGAAGTTCGAGAATGTATTAACGATACAGTTGTGCATGCATTATTTCTACGGGAAGGAAGACGTAATAAACGGGTTCAAAATGAGATCCATTAATTCAAAATTTCATGCATGCTTGTCTTGAAATTTCACCAACGGATCAGGCAGTTCCAGTTTTGACCTCTTGATCGAAGCAGACACTCTGGAGGCTGAGAATTAATTAACATACCAACTTTAATAAGCAACGGTGAAAGCGGTTAGAGGAGACGAACAATAAATTAATAAATTAGAAGAGCGGGTACGTCTAACGTAAGTAAACCAAAAAGAAAAAAAAAAGGAAAAAGAAAATGTATAATGAGCTGCTATACGTGTGCGTTGAAGTCAAGTGTCCAGGATTTGCGACTGTAACAAAATCTGTATCAACATGCTGGATGACCCTGTTCTGTCACTGTATATTCACCAACTTTTAGGATGCTCGGGATTTAAAGCGACACTGGTGTATTTGTTTTGCAGCACAGACATCTAAGACATGTTTACGTTTACGTAGCAGTAAGTACAACTATATTCAAAGAATCGAAAGGTTCGACACGACAGCTATCTAAAATGTATGAGGGTCAAATATCCATTGTGCTGAAAGAGCATGCAAGTATCTCGAAGGGGGGGGATTATTGGTGTGTAACGTGTCAGATTAGAAAAAACATGAACGGGTATTTTCTTGCAGAGGAAAGTTAATGTTTAAAAGGCACTCGTAGAAAATAATTCAACAATCACAATTCGTTTTGATTACGATGGGTGTCTTTATCACTCGGAGCCACTGAAATTCGTACGATTGTAGAGCGACGTCAGGATACGGTGTGATGTGGACATGGTGGGCCTTGATGGCAAATTTGTATGGTTGTACTAACACCATGCACAATAGTCAAACTGGTTAAAATCTCACTTAAACGCACTTCGTTAATAACTTATCTCTCGATCTTCCCGGGCAACGGGGAAGAACTTTAGTATTAAATGCAATTGCGCAAGTCCGAGAACTCAATTATAAATGTTTTCCATGGGAAAAACATCGTCTGTTAGACTAATTATTGTTTCACGGATGTTCTATATAGGGAAAATGTTGCATTGGTAAAAGAACACAGCCCACATTATAATGATCCAATGCACTGTGTAAATGGGACTCTCACCATCTGTAATCTTTCTGGCAATGAATTTCAGGGTTTCATCGAGAAGTACCACTGGGATGGAGAACTTCATAACGGTAAGCCACTCTTCTGTCGTTAGGGGGGTAACTTGGAATACAGACTGAAACAGACAGAATTTAACGAATTACGTAACGCTACGACAATATCACGACGACGGGATAAATGAGAGATTATTATACCGAAAGTACGTCGATGTAAAGGATGACAAAGTGGAGTGTGAAAGAAAGAGCCATAGAGGCAATGAGCCACATGTTAGACCAGGGCGGCATAGTGATGAGAGATTGATTCTCAGATAAACTGAAATAAAAGAACAACGTAAACTATAAATTCATGCTGGTTCAACTATCCCTGAAATGGCGGTGTTTCTATCGCGTTACCTGTTCATCGCGTTCAACATTTCAATGGTTACAAGTACAGACAGAGCCATCGTCATGGGGTGAGGATCCGTGAAGATCTTGCAGTTAACGCCCTTGAATTCTTCCCCACCACCCAAACACGCCAAGTGATGAGTCTGTAATTTGTACAATTCGGAATTTCATTTCGGACAACATTTAATTGTGCCACTTGGGTTATGGTATTGTCCATTCGTTGTATAATTATCATACAATTTCATTAATCTTTGAACACGTACAGATTGCGTATCATAGACAAGAATTAAATGATCCAATAAAGGTCTGTAACACAACAAGTAATAACATTAATTATTAAAGCTTTACCAGTTGGTAGTAATTCATCTGTGGGCCATTTGGACTGTACAAGAACCACCACGCGGCTGATCCAACGGTAGCAGCACCTACGTATCCGCCAATAGCCAGATAGCGGAAGAACAGCCAGCCCGAGATAAGGGATTCGTCGGCTTTACGGGGAGGCTACAGTGTTGCAAATAAAAATAACGTTGCTTTGATAAATTATTACAATTTTAATAGAGTTTTGTACATGTAACATCGGCGGTACTACCTTGCTCATGATGTCCAAGTCGGGAGGATTGAAACCAAGAGCAGTAGCTGGAAGACCGTCAGTAACCAAGTTGACCCACAGAAGTTGTACCGGGATCAATGCTTCGGGAAGACCAAGAGCGGCAGTCAAGAATATACTGCCGAGCAATAAAAATATATTACGCATATAATATAACAATATTCATGCTTCGAATACATCACGAGGGAATCACTGGATGAACAAACCTCACGACTTCACCAATATTGGAAGAGATAAGGTAACGAATGAACTGTTTCATGTTGTTGTAAATAGCACGGCCTTCCTCAACGGCAGCGACGATGGAAGAGAAGTTGTCGTCTGCCAACACCATCTCAGAGGCAGATTTCGCCACAGCGGTTCCAGATCCCATGGCGATACCAATTTCAGCTTTTTTCAAGGCTGGGGCATCGTTTACACCATCGCCAGTCTGCGATGCGGAAACAAAAATTGTATACGCTTCCATGAAGATATTTTTGGAAGCAGTTAATAACGGAGGTGTGCAACTGATCAGTGTATCGCGATCGGAGAGAAAGAGTGGGAGTACTAATCAGAGTACTCACCATAGCCGAGATTTCGTTCATGCTCTGCAAGTACTCAACGATCTTCGATTTGTGAGCAGGTTCAACACGAGAGAAGAGACGAGCCCTGGCGCAAGCAGACTTCTGTTCGGACGAAGAAAGATCGTCGAATTCACGACCGGAGTAGGACTTTCCGGTTGTGTCCTCGTCTTCCTCGAAGACACCGATACGTCGGCAGATAGCTTCAGCAGTGGCTTTGTTGTCTCCGGTGATGACGATAACGCGGATACCAGCGGCGCGACACCTCATGATAGAGTCGAATACTTCCTTGCGAGGCGGGTCAAGCATGCCGACAACACCGACGAAGGTGAGGTCCTTCTCGTACGTGTAGAATTTAGTGGAATCGTCAAGGTCCATGTCATCGGGTTTCATGGGATGATCAGCGGTAGCGAGGGCAAGGCATCTGAGCGTGTCTCGGCCGGTACCATACTGGCGAGTCAAGTCCAAGATGCGATTCTTCAGGGTGGAGGTCAAAGGAACCTTGGTAGAGCCGACGCGAGCGTGCGTGCACCTGTCCAAGACACCTTCGGGGGCGCCCTTGACGAACAGTTTCGGTCCAGTGCCCAGCTTGCTGGGTTTCAGAGGGACGCAGTAAGACGACATAGATTTGCGATCGCGAGAGAACTCCAAAGTGAACTCTTTCTTCCATTTGGTCTCCATATCTTGTCTGCAAACGATGGCAGAGTTACGTCTGTCCAGTCCAATCTTCGAAACGCCGAACGGGTTGATCTTCTCGGCCAGAACAATGAGAGCGGTTTCGGTAGCCTCTCCGACTTTCTCGAACGCCTGTTTGAACTCGTTGAAGTCGATGGCAGAGTCGTTGCACATGATGCAAATCGTACCAACTTCGTGGAGCGTCTCGAAGTCCTCTCCCTTGATTTTCTTCCCCCTCAAGAACGTCTCGCCGATGGGCTCGTAAGTCGAGCCGCTGATCTCGAATTCGTGGAAGCTGCTGTCGTTACCCTCGATCTTCTCGAAAATGAACATTCTGCAACAAAGTACCATCGACACGTTGTACCTATTCAAAATACTCGCTCGATACCAAATGTCAAACTAGACCAAGCATTAATATACATCCTGACGACATACCGGCTAACAGACATCTGGTTAGTGGTCAGGGTGCCAGTCTTGTCCGAGCAAATGACAGACGTGCAACCAAGGGTTTCGACAGACGGCAACGAACGGACGATGGCGTTCTTCTTGGCCATACGACGGGTACCTAAAGCCAAGCAGGTCGTGATTACGGCCGGCAAACCCTCGGGAATAGCGGCCACGGCAAGAGCAACGGCGATCTTGAAGTAGTAAATAGCTCCCTTGATCCAAGATCCGCCATGAGCAGGATCGTTGAAATGCCCGATGTTGATGGCCCAGACAGCGACGCAAATTACGGAAATAACTTTCGACAATTGTTCACCGAACTCGTCCAGCTTCTGCTGCAGGGGTGTCTTGATCTCCTCTGTTTCCGACATCTCGGTACGAATCTTACCAATAGCAGTGTTCAAGCCGGTTCCAATGACAACACCGCGAGCTTTACCTGCGGCTACGTTGGTACCGGAGAACAGGATATTTTTCTTGTCCTGAAATCAGAGCGGATTTTTATTCGTCAACAAATTCTCTGGGAACGTTGGTCCTGGAACTCCTCGGAGCTCGCAATATTTTTCACCTATTTGTTAAATTACTTTTTGCCGAATGCTTTATTATACAGCACGATCGACGCGATGCTCCTCGGAGCACGTCCTGTGCGTTAATCGGACCCTTCTTTTACGAGTTAATTTAGGGTTTGACGCGATTCAAGGGTTAAAGTATCTTGCATATTAATATTTTTTGCATTAAAATATATCATGATAGCTCCAGAGAATATATCCATGTTATATGAAATATTTTAAATAAATGCGAAACACAAGTTGCTTGGATGATAAAGCTTAAAATGCAATCGTATTTGGAGTTACTGGCCGCACAGCTGGAACACCGACAGAACTTCCATAAAGATAAGTGAAGCGAAGTATAAAAAATTTTATTTTCGTCAGCAGATAACTTTATTATACTGGGCATGTAGGTCAAATCGCAATTAGTTGTCGGACCCCGGCAGCAGCGGCTAGGTATGGTATGTATACTCGATGTTGCTCCATTTTGGTCTAAGTGATCGAATAATTCCAGGGTGGATCCACCCAAGCATGCGGTAATTAGGTGCCCTACTTCTCCAGACACTGATCGGTGGTCTAGGATAAGTGGAGTATAATGCCTATGTACACCAGGGGACAATAATTTTGGTTTCTCGATTAACCGCATCTCTCATGCTCGCGTTTGGACCGTGTAAATTATGAGATGTACTTTACGGTTACACGCATTTTATTTTGCACGAGGTAAGCACGTTTTTTTCCAGTATCAAAAATTAATACAAATGCGTTTGATCGACATTCATCAAATTTCTGGTCAACATTATTGAGAATCTTTGTCAACAGATTTCTTCAAATGTAAGATTTAGTCTGAATGATGTATCTAATACACGATTCAACTTTTACACCGTCAGATTAGAATTTTAGTCGCATTATCAGTTGTACGCGATTTCATTTCCTCGTGTATTTCATTTATCTCGTATATCTTATGAAATACCCGGGTCCCCGGCAAATTTTTATCTGCCTGGGTAAATCACGAGTAGCCCGAGTACATATCTCGTAAGTAAGAGTCATACTTCCTAAACTTCGGATTACCTAGATAAGAGCTTACATTATTGTATACAATACACAAGACGGGCCAAAGATAGTGACACAGGTTTTTCTTGGAAACGTCGCTTCCATTAAGCGTATTCGTTTGTTATCGTACCAAGCCAGTACTATTATGAAGCGATGAAAAATATCAACGTCGATACAGAATAATTTTAATATTATTTTTTCAAGAACATCTTCTTTGTTCGAGACCTTCTTTGAACAACGATCAAGTACCGAGAGAAATGGACTAAACGACTTGAATTTCTTTTTAGACGATGGCCACGACCAAAATGCTTTTTCTTAAATTTTGCTACTACTTAAAACGGCAAAAAAAAAGGTCTAGTAGACTGGTTCCTTTATCGTCTAAAGGCCACTGTATATACGTTTTTTAACCCTTTGCACTCGAAGCTATTTCAACTGTAAGTCCAGAATAATTTTTCTGGCTTATAGTATTTTTATTTTATACGACAAAGTGCATTTTATGCATATGAAATTGACTCTTGCGACTCACGCAACAGTTACGCCCTTAACAATTATTTAAATCTAAATTTTGTTAATATAGAAATGATCTTAGAACGCGATATAACAAATTTTAATGATGCCTCAGAGTCACCGCTCGAGTGCAAAGGGTTAAGACAAGAATCGGTACCCACCTGGTTGACAGCACGCGGGTCGGGAACAGGATCGGTGTGCTTGATAACCGAGATCGATTCACCGGTCAGGATAGACTGATCGATCCTGAGGGTGGTGGAGAAGATCTTGGTGAGACGAATATCGGCTGGGATCTTGTCACCGACGGACACCTCGACAATGTCCCCGGGCACGATCTCTTTGGCTCGAATTCTTTGGACACCGGACTTGTCCTTTCGTAAAACTTTGCCCATCTCGGGCTCGTACTCCTTCAACGCTTCGATCGCAGACTCGGCGTTACGTTCCTGCCAAACACCGACCACGGCGTTGGCGATAAGAATGAGCAAAATGACGAAGGGCTCGACGAAGGCAGTGAAAGCATCTTCGTGCTCTTCAAATAAAGCTAATACCTGCAACAAAACGGGGTGCCATTTTAGACAATTTATTAAACGGAATACCATTTTATACTATTTATTAAACAGTGTACCATTTTATACCATTTATTAAACCGAGTACCATTTTATACTATTTATTAAACAGTGTACCATTTTATACCATTTATTAAACCGAGTACCATTTTATACTATTTATTAAACAGTGTACCATTTTATACCATTTATTAAACAGAGTACCATTTTATACCATTTATTAAACGGAGTACCATTTTATACCATTTATTAAACGGAGTACCGATTTTTTCAACCAACTTGAAGGTAATAAATACCTATGCAGCTTTCGCGTCTTGCAATCTGCGCGGACAATCTTTTCCAAGGAATTCGAGCATAACATTTTGTTCTCAAGATGCTATACTTTTAAGAAACATAAGATTTTACTGCCTTAAGGCCTTAAAGAATGAAATTATCTAACTCGGAAGACCGATTTCCTTTTGAGAAAATTAAAATACTCGATGCATGAAAATACCGGTTGACAATGACCTATTTCTGGAGAACTACGTACGAGTATAATAATCTGCACGAACTTGTACACACGTAACAATGACTTCTCTATCTACACCGCGAACTCTGTCATTTAGAAAAAAGTATAATAAAATCCATAGAATTGTACAATTCGTTAATGGAGACACTGCAATCCAAAGGGAACTGTATCTAACTGTATCTGTACTTAATCTTATTCGCGGCGTGTTACGCAGCATCTCGAAGTTCGTAACACAACATTCTATTCAAATCTATTCAAATGCACGGACCATTTGCGAAATACGTGCATGCATGATTCGTTCTGTCACGCGACGGTGAATTATTCCAATGATCTTCCGAACGAAATTTTTTCTACGTGCGTGAAAAATAATGAGGTTTTCATATCGCGGAGAGAAATCGATACGCTATTTTTTCACCTTTGAAATGATGTATTTATAATGAGTGAGCCTTGAACCTTTGTAAACGCGGTATGACTTTGACCAACTAATTATTGCTTGGCGGCGATCAGGGGTAATAATGCGGCTGTTCGATTTCATTAATGTGTTTCGTTAGCGTTTCGCGTCACATCTAAAAATAAGGACGGTCATCGACGGGGCGTGATCTCGACGATCCTTTTTACGTACTCGCCGGAGAATCCGTTCGCGGCGTTTCAATGATTTCGAACTACAATCTCGTAGGTGATTCTTAATGGACACCGACGCCTGTCGCGCGAATTAGCGGACGACGCCGACCGAACAGAAAGTTTCTGCATCGCGCAACTTTCGCCATCGTCGGCGAGCGCGCTCGCCGATAAGCAATAAAAATAAGTTTGTGTAATAAAGCTGATCTTCGTCGAGCAGGCAATCTTTATTTCCTTGGCCATTGACGCACGTTCTTGTACTCGCGATCGTGAATCGTGGCAGATGTAATCTCGCAATTAACCCTTAACCGGCAGCGAGCCATTTTTGCGAAACTACTTTGTACCTTCCGCGAGTTCATAAATATTTTCTTTTTTTTTTAGAGAGAGAGAGTAGTATTGTTCGAATGCATACGTACAAAAGAAATAATAGCGGCTAATAGAAGAATCTTAACTAGAAGGTCGTCGAACTGTTCCAAGACGAGCTGCCATATGGATTTACCTGAAATCAGAAAAACCAAATGTAATAACTTCGAGCAAGAAAGGTGTAACAAAAATGTTTTGCGATCAACATTTTCGTTCACGGAACGCGCCAACATAATTTCTATCGAGCCACAGGACGGAACGGTATAACAGATTTAATTAAAAACGAAATGTACCATTTTTCTAGAAAGTCGAATTCGCTATTTAATGCAACGGGTGAACGTACAGTTTCCGGCAGGAGGAATGCCACGGACAAGCGAAGACGGATGTTGCTTAAAGTTCGACGCGGGGCACGGTTAAATGCGCTCAGTTCAAATAAGCAAAGAGTTCTAATTGAAGATCGGAAATTACGATCCTTCGGTCGCTGAATTCGGGCTTTTATCGCGGGAAGACTCGCGTCGGTTAACATTGTACACGTGCGAAAAAAAAAAATAGCGGAACTAAGAGTAATTGGGGACAGGCGACGGCGTCCTTGATAGCAAGTGCCTTCTGCCAGTGTGCTATTGACGTCACGCCGCGGTTGTCCCAACGTGCTCTACAGTTGACGATTTCATTAATTGTAGTCTACGATGACGGCCGGAGCGACAAGTGAAAATCCGATTGCTAGCCAATTATAGGAACAGGTTTTATCGCGGACATCCTCGTCGCGCTTTCGGCCGCCCATATTCGACGGTTCAATTTCCGTTCAATCTTCCGTAGCCTTGATTTCCGGCTATTATTAACGAAGCGCGCGACCGACGTCGTTTATGCTGCCAGCTTTTCGTAAGAAGACAGTGACAAAGGGTTTTCTCCGCGCATCCGTTTCCTTCCGGAGGGCTGAGGTTAAAGTACCTATTATGGAACGCTTTTCAGGGGGTATTAGATCATCGTCAATTTTATTACAATCTAGAAATATTATTGTTGAATATTTATACTAGTATATATATAAATAGTATAAATACTCAACAATAATATTTCTAGATTGTAATAAAATTGACGATGATCTAATACCCCCTGAAAAGCGTTCCATAATAGGTGCTTTTACTTCTAATAATATTTCTAGATTGTAATAAAAAAAAATTGTATAAATATTCAACTATGTATATATATATATATATTTATATATATATATATATTGAATATTTATACTAAATCAAATTTTATACAATACAATTACCGCTGATGTTCGTTACCATAATTCTAATACTAAATAGTACAGCGTAATGAATTATGAAATGATCGCGTAGATTTGAATTTCCTTTATGCATTGTTTCGTCGCGTGGAATATAACGTAACAACTTTCTTTACTTTATGTGACGCACAGCGAGTAACTCCTGTGGTTGGACGCTGCAGAACTTTTAATTAGTCGAACTGTAATCGAGGTTCGCGCGAAGAAGAGAAAACATGTTTAATCCCATGCAATGTTACGGCATTAAAGCCTCAGCTACACTGGCGCGTTTCGAACGTACCCCGTCGCACATAATTTTGCAAACATCTCTCGCATAGCACAAGAGATGTTAGAGCGTTGCAACCCTTAATTTTTGTTATATTCGTAGCGAACGATTGTTCGAAACAATTCTTGTTTAGATCGTTTATGTTAGCTACCGGTGCAGCGACATTCGATTGATTTCGATGACGTTTCGCCGTCGTCGCGTTTGTCCACACAGTGCACACATCGTCGCTGGATCAATGGCGTTTGGACACGTAACGAGGAATGGCTCCGAGGTCTACGATCCATGGCTAAGCACCGCTTCTACGATCGCGTGCCTTATTTATTCCTAGACTATAGATCTTTGCGTCAACGTTCATTTTCATAACCTTTTTCACACACTTCAAAGTCAAGAGAAAAACTGTATTTCTTATACAGGCATTGTACGGAAGTCGTCAACCCTGTCGCTTTCTATTTCTTTCTCGTTTCTTCGATGCGATTGCGTAGCACTTTCTTTTATCCAGCCAGAATAATGGTTGCAGTTTTACAAAATTGTATGTTGTAATATTATTAGTTAACACTTCGAAGTATAAGGGACGGTAAAAATTTGTCAGAAAAGCTGGTTACAAAGCTATTAAATCGTGGCTTTATTTTCATTTTGTTTCGGTCAAACTCTTTTTTGCTTGTCGCATTGAAATTGTTGGGATTATGGAATGAAAAAATGAATATGATTCTAATTCTTTTCTTAAAAAGGACTTTATTTTATTCCTTTATTGAGAGAAGGTATATGGGCGAAAACGATCGAGCGACCAAACTCTACTGAGAGAGTCCGGTAAGAAAGAACGCTTCTTTTATACCCTTCTTGGGTTCGTCTTATCCACCAATCGGAGACGTTTTATTTGTCGCGTTTCACATTGTATACGTGACGCTGGGATCCCCAAACAGTCAGGGCACGATGTATATCTAATGGTACCGGTGATGATGTATCGCGGTATCTACTATATACAGTTTACATCACCGTCGTTGCTCGCTGACGGAACCGGCAAAAATGTAAACCGATATCTTAGTATCTTAGTACTAAGTAAACTATAGATTAATTTTTGTTCGAGACTAAAATTTCAACAGAAATAAATGTAAATTAACACACACATATACAACAAAAAATTTGTATCAAAGTAAAATACTATGAAAAGAAAACATAATATCTATAAACGTTTATTAATTTATTTGTAAATGTTTTATACTGTGTAGCGCTTTCGTGAAATTTGAAAACGATGGCACTGTTTCATTTCCAAGTACTTTTCTTCTCACAAAAACGAATACAATAATCTTGGCAATCTTTCGAAGCAAAAAAACTACGTGCCGTGCTGTGTAAAAGCCGCGAAAACTGCGGAAACGGTTGGGGGTCACGAGAGGGTGGCAGCCA